GAGAGAGAGAGAGAGAGAGAGAGAGAGAGAGAGAGAGAGAGAGAGAGAGAGAGAGAGAGAGAGAGAGAGAGAGAGAGAGAGAGAGATGTAAGAGAAAGTAGGAGAAGGTAGGAGAAAGAACGAGAAAGTATGAGAAAGAAGAAGAATAAGAAGAACGAGAAAGTACGAGAAAGAAGAAGAAAATGAGGATGACAAGCAATGACAAATTGTTTCTGCACACACTCAATTTTCATTAAAATCATGCATGCTTACCACTTTACAAAAAGACAAAAAAGAAAAGGAAAAAAAAATTACCTCACTCCACGAGGAGCAACAGATGTCGTTGCCCACCGCTGCCTTTGTATCTATGTCGCGATAAGTCAGTCGACATACAAACTCGCTCACTTCCAAGCACAACTCACCAGCGATGGTCGTGCAATGTATAAGGAGACAGCATAGAGAAGGTAGGAGAATGGGAGACAGTCGGTGCCGCATCATATTTGTTAATTCATTTTTGGGGTACAAATTTACACGAGGCGTAGGGAGGGGTTAGCGTTTGGAAAGAGTCATCCATCAGTCGGTCCGCCCCTGGACGTTAAGCATCACCATCTTCACCCAAATACAACATACTGCCATTATAGCTGTATCTGGGGAACTTCAGTCTACATACAGTTATAATGTCCGTGTACGTTGTATTCGGGGGAAGAAGGTAGGCATAACCTTCTCAACATTTCCATAGCAGAATAACAGTTAGCAGATGTTTGATATGTCGTAAATCGGTAATACAGTGCTGCATCTATTCCCACGCCATTGCTTGAGGCCATCGCTGTCGGCCACAAGCTCATGCTATTGCTTGAGGCTGTCGATGTTGACCACAAGCTTCTGCCATGGTGTGAGGCTGTCGATGTCGGCCATAGGCTCCTGCCGTTGCTTGAGGCTGTCGATGTCGGCCACATGCTCCAGCAATGGATTGCCCATCATGTCCTTATGTACAGCTTTGTGCAGGCCATACAATCAATGTGCATAATTTTCAAAGTTTTGAATCACCTGCCATCAGTAGGAGAACCCACCTCTTTTCTTTCCCCATCAGTGGCAATAAGTCGGTCAGTTTCTGTCCAATCAACAAGAATAGTAGAATAGCTTCGGCACAGAATCAGCAGTTCTTTTTCTTTTTTTTTTTACAAAGCTTATATCCTTGGCGCATTCTTTTCTCAGTATCTGGTGCTGCAGTGCTGCAGCTGTTGCCTCCGTCAGACACTGCTCAAGGCTGCGGGTGTAGACGGCTCATTAGGCTTGCAGGCAATGGTATTGCTGACAACAAGCTGGGCACATGTTCCCGCAATGCTGGCCACTTTTTTCCTGACAGTTCCCTGTAGGCAGTGCAATTTGCATAGTATATTTATCTCCTGATGTCAGCATGAGATCAGGATTCCGGTCAGTCTGTCGCAGATGTGGAGCAGAGAGCATACGCAACCTTCTCGAAGTCCTCAGAGTTGAAACCATCTGGTTTTGCAGCGGCACGCAGCTGTTGCCTCTGACACTGTTAGATGAATCAGAGGTGGTGGGTGTTGTAGGATCATTTGCCTTGCAAGTACTGGTATTGCTGACAACAAGCTGGCCGCAGGTTGCTGAGTTGCCGCGCACCACCCATATCTCCTGACACTACTGTACAGGTCATACGATTTAGGTAGTATCTCCTGACGTCAGCGAAAGGTCCACCTAGCAGTCCGTCAGCCACTGGGACTTTCAGCACGAGCTGTACATACTACATACACTTCACATTTTCAAAGCTGAAACCATTAGCAGGTCTTCAATATCTGAGACTGCAGTGTCGCACCTGCTTCCCTGGTCACGGCTAGAGGCTGTGGGTGTAGGTCTGTTTGCCTCATCCGTGACAAAGTTGCTGACAACAAGCTGCCCGCAGGCTCCTGCGATGTCGCCACCCATCTCCTGGCGTACGGTTGCGTGCAGGCCATACGATTCACGTAGTACCTCTTGGAATCGCCTGACGTCAGCAGGCGAGCTCGCAGAATGAGCTGAAGTAGCTGCAGATACTGAGTTGTGCGGGATCAGATTGACAAAAACTTGTCGTCCTTTTAGCAAAGAGCCGAGCTGGTGCGCAATCGGCTCGGAATCGTTCACTCCCGCCAGCATGACGTATTCTACGAAAACAGTTCGACCACTGGCGGCTTGATATGCGTCGAGCGCAGCGACAAGTTTGTCGAGACGGTACGCTCGCGCCGCTGGCACAATGGCGGCTCGTAACTCCTGCGAAGGGGCATGGAGGGAGAGAGCCAAGTTCACACCCGGAAGATCGGAAGCGAGCGTTTTCATTCTCGGAATAATGCCAACCGTCGAGATGGTAATATGGTTGGGCGAAAGTCGGAAGCATTTGCCGCTGCACATAGACCGAACAGACTGCAAAACGGCATCGTAGTTGTTCAATGGTTCCCCCATACCCATGAATACAACATTCCTAATATTAGGGGTGAATCGTAGCGCATGGACCAGCTGCTCCACGATCTCCCCGGCTGTTAAATTACCCTGCAATCCCATCGTTCCTGTGGCACAGAACGAGCAAGCCATCTGGCATCCCACTTGGGACGATACGCAAAGTGTCGTCCGAGGGCCACCGCCGCGAGGTTGTCCCGCATAACGTCCTGCTGATGCATCATGGTGCATGATAACAGTCTCCACCTGCTTGCCATCCTGTAGCTGAATCAACAGCTTTGTGGTGCTCCCGTCAACGGACATCTGTTCCCTGATAACTTCAGAAGTAAAAGCGGAGAAGTCCAATTGAAGCACATTGTGCGCCACGACGGGTAGATCCTTGATATCTGCGAAATTTGGCCGCGTGGGCATCTGATCATTGCAGCTCCTCTTGGCAATGCCTGAGAGCACATAGTTCCACACAGTGGCGATGTGCAATGGCTTGATGTCATTCTTTTCGAAAGCTGCTCGTAGCTCCTCCTCATCAAAGATGGACTGAGGATTCAATTGACGCCGCAGAACCATCTGTCTGACAAGGAACGAAGAAGAAAGAACAACACCGGTACAGAGGAGAGAAATGGCATTATGGCATATGTCAACCGAAGCTTTTAGTAGGAGGAAGGCTTGTGCATCATGACTCTCTCTCTCTCTCTCTATATATATATATATATATCATCACAAACAGATATATATATCGTCTATATATATATATATATATATATATATATATATATATATATATATATATATATATCACAACCCCTCGTTTGTTGTCCTCTTCTCTCTCTCTGCCTACGGTTTACTGGGCAGTTCTGTTTGTGACCATATATACAGGGTTGCCGGGGTTCGGGACGGGCCGAACGCCCGAACCCAAACGCCCGAACGTACGGGACCCCTTCGGAAGGCGTTCGGCCGTTCGGGCCGAACGCGGACCGAAAAAAAAAAACAAAAAAAAAAAACAAAGTTTTCAAAAAATTCCGAAAAAAACATATGTTATGGAGAAAAATAAACTAAACAACATTTGCATGGGAACTACATCCAAATTCTTTACCAAATTTGAATTAAAAATCAAATACAGAAAATAAACACTATGATAAAAATAAGAAAAAATAAAAAGAGAATTAAAATGAGTGAGTGCGCCAGCACCTTTTCGGCACCGCCATCTTTGCCGATTTTTAATTATTTTTTGGCATTGAAAAATGCCCTGAAAATTCACAGATATGTAGTTTACATAATCAATAACTCATTAAATTTTTTTCAAAAACTAATAAAAATTTTTAGGCCCCGAAATAAAGTGAAAACAAAAAGTTAAAAGTGAAAAAAAAACAAAATAGTGAGTGGGCGAGCACATTTTGACACCCCCATCTTTGACGATTTTTAATGTTTTTTTGGCTTAGTAGAATGGCTTCAAACTTTATAGGCGTGTAGGTTACATCATAGAGAACGCACACACACACACACACACACAAAAAAAAAAAAA